ATGTATATAAGAATGTATGAAGAAATATAAATATAAATATATATATACACAATAACAGCAGCTGTACAAGTATTAACTGGAAATGAAGAATATAATGTCCAGTGTTGTGCAATCCACATTTGTAAGTGTCTCGTGCAGTGCAAATATGCTTAAAGTGAGCGCAGATTAATGGACCGTGTTACTGACGGGAATCTACAGCATCTTGAGCTGAATTCAGACTTCAGACTATGTGTAAGACATAAATAAAGCTAAAACACAAAGGTTTGGACACCGTTTTGCATGTTTCCCTACTGTAGGGGTCTCTGCAAGCATACAGGGCTCTGACAGGGTCCAAGATGACAACTCTGGAATTCTACTAGAAACAGCCGATCATATTTGTTTGTCAAAGCTGAATTCAGGGCAAGCTACGCTAAATTAGCGTTTTTAGCTAGCAGCTACAATAAGCATTATAATGACGCTTGTTCTTATACATGTAACACATTTATTACCAACCTGAGAGTTTATCCGCTGGTTATTCGACATGACGAATGACTTCTGAAGTCTTAATTCAGCTCAAGACGCTGTAGATTCCCGTCAGTAACACTTTCGGTCCGCTAGTAAAACGTAGCTCTATTAATCTGCGCTCATTACTCTCGAACCGGAACCGGATGTAAGTCCCAAAAAACTGAATTTTGGAACTGAAATGGAATGGTGTTGAATTCCATTTGTACAACATCTCTAAAATTAGAAATATCCTGTCTCAAAGTGAAGCTGAAAAACCTGTTCATGCATTTATCACTTCTAGGCTGGACTATTGTAATTTGTTATGTCAGGATGTCCTAAAAACTCCCTGAAAAGCCTTCAGTCGCTCTATTCCACAGCATGTCTTTTGTTCCGTCTTCTCTCTCTCACCCCAACCAGTCACGGCAGATGGCTGCCCCTAACTGAGCCTGGTTCTGCCGGAGGTTTCTTCTGGTTAAAAGGGAGTTTTTCCTTCCCACTGTCGCCAAAGTGCTTGCCCATGGGGGTCATATGATTGTTGGTTTTTTTTCTGTATGTATTGTTATTATATAGTAGGGTCTACCTTACAATATAAAGCCACCTTGAGGTGACTGTTGTTGTGATTTG